GTTAAACAGTTCATCTACAGTAGAATACGATGCATTCTCAAAGTTTATCATACCCATAAATAGTTCACTCGTATTTTCATTTATGTGTCTTCTTCGTACAGTTGTAGAGTCCACTGGTGGTTTGTTAGTGAAACACATGTCAAAAAAAACACAGAAATGATCCGAAAGAGCAACATCGACCACGTTTACATTTGAAATATTCACCCCCTTAGTAACTAACAGGTCTAGAGTGTGCCGTCTGCTGTGGGTGGGGCCACTTACGTGCTGAGTGAGATCAATAGATTCAAGTACAGAACTCAGCTCATTTGCATTTCTGTCATCAACATTATCCACATGAATATTAAAATCACCTGTAATAACCAAACTATCAAAATCTGTGCATACAACTGAAAGCAACTCGGTAAAATTATCAATAAAACTATGACATGACTGCGGTGGCTTGTATAGGACAATGAAGAGTATTGGAGGAGATTGTTTTTGTTGTATTTTAAAAGACACATATTCAAATGATGAAAACTTCCCAAGAGACATTCTATGGGAGACAAAGTGGTCTCTAAAAATGGCAGCTAAGCCTCCTCCTTTTTTGTTTTCCCGTATTTCAGATTAAAACTTGAAATTTGGTTAAAAACTGCATTTCCTGAATTTTGGTCAAGCCAAGTTTCAGCCATGAACATAAGATCAAGATTATGAGAACAAATAAAATTATTGATTAAAAAAGACTTGTTACAAAGAGATCTGACATTAAGCGAAGCAAGTTTCAAAGTTTCAGTATCAGCGGTTGTGGTCGGCTGATTCTTACACGGAACAAGAATTTGATTTTCCAGATTAGACTGATTAACTCCAGATGTTTTTCTGTAATGTATTCGTTGTGTTATCACTTAGGGAATGGCACAGGTGGCTTCATGACAGGGCCCCAGCCGGGTCTCTCCTCTAACTAGACTGCCAGTGGCTGCGAAGCAGAGACCCTGTGCATCCTAGTGTTTAGAGAAAAGAGGGGAAGGGGAAGGCGGGGGAAGAGGATGGAGAGGTGGGTGGCTTTTGGGTGTTGAACGAGGGGGGCAGGGAGGTGGAGGGGTTTTTGGTGATGGGTTAGGGCCGGGGTGGGCTGAGGCAGAGGTTTTGGATGTTGAACGAGGGGGAAGTGGGGGTGGAATGGTCATGAGGTTAGGGGAGGGACTGGCTGAGGTGGTTTTTGTAGGTGAATTGGAAACCCTAGGTGGTTTTGGAGGTACATATGGGGAGTGGTTTAGAATGTTGGACAGGACTCTAGATCTAGCTAATATGGGTGTGAGAAGAATAGTCTTCATCGCCGATTTTATTAGCCCTGCAGAGTGTTCAGGTAGGTCTAAAGGGGCGTTCACACCGGACTTAACTTCGGCGTCAAAAGCGTCAGGTTTCCATTGAAAGTGAATGGTGAAGCGCGTCAGGTGAAGCCGAGAGCCCCGGCGTCACTAGACGCGCGTCAAAAGCTTCAAGAGTCGCGCGTACTACGCGCTCACTTGAAGCTTTTGACGCGCGAAACGCTCGCGTATCACAACAATCCCTCTGACGCCGAAGCTGAGCAAAGCTGAGCTTTTGAAGCTTTGACGCGGGCTTCAACCAATCAGGAGACGAGGAGCAGCAGCAGCAGAGGGTCTGTCTCTGTCATGGAGCGAAGTCATGTATCTGCTGCTGCTGTTTTATTGTCATTATTGTTATTAGTAATATTATTTGTATGAGTAGTAAAATTCTGAGTAACAAAAATCATTGTACACATGCTGTGTAGTAAACGTAGTTTATTTAAAATAAGAACAGGCTGACGATGAGTCTGGCTCAGAGCAAGGCAGCTCCGGGCGGGCGAGAGCCGGGGAGAGGCAGGGAGAGGCGAGAGCGAGGCGGGGAGAGGCAGGGAGAGGCGAGCGAGAGCCGGGGAGAGGCAGGGGGAGGCAGGGAGAGGCGAGAGCGAGGCGGGGAGAGGCAGGGGAGAGGCAGGGGGAGGCAGGGGAGAGGCAGGGGGAGGCAGGGAGAGGCGGGGAGAGGCGAGCTCCGGGGTTTGAGAACTCAGACTGGGCGAGTGACATGCGGAAGTACCGCTGAAAGCGAGACTCCTCCGTACGCAGCTCCTGGAGTAAATGACGGAACTCTGCAAACACTGCAGCCTCTCAAGTCTGTGGTGAACCCAGAACATGTTGTGTTGAAGCCCTACAACAACGTTATTTTGCTTTATATAACAAATAAAGGCTCGCTGCTCATTGAAAAATCCACCGCTGTCCTGACTACAGACAACAGAGAAGCTCCTCCCACCGGCGTCAGGCGCGTCAAAAGCTTCAAGCACCAAAATGACAAAACTATCCCGGCGTCAGTTGAAGCGCGTCAAAAGCTTTTTGAAGCTTTTGGTCTGAACGCGCCTTAACAGTGAAGGCGGGGATGAAAAACAAAGGGACGTGTCCCCATTCTCTCTTGATGGAGTGGACGTGGCAGGGGGGACCCAAGACAGGTCCATGGGGGGTGGCGAGGGAGTCTTTGATGGAGGGGCAGGTGGTTGAGGAAACCCCAGCACAGGCCTGTCTGCTGTAGGTTGGGGTGAGGATGGGGGCTTCAGAGGCGCTGTAGATGAAGAAGGCGTGGCTGCTTTGGAGCAGGCTAGGGATGAGGATGTTGGTGGTGGTGGTCGTGCAGCTGGTGCTGCTACTGGTGATGATACAGCTGCTGCTGGTGATGATGCAGCTGCTTCTGATGACAGTGGAGGTGTTGAGATCCTTTGAGGCGGTGATGGTGTTGAGATCCTTCGAGGTGGTGGAGGTGCAGAGACTTTTAGAGTCGTCTTCCTCCCGTTCGATGGCTGCACGCGCTGCGCAGGCTGAGGTCTCAGGGCAAAAGAAAGGTTATCCATCAACACTTTTACTCCGTAAGTGTTCAGATGTGGCCCTTTCCCTTCAAAAAGCTCATGCCTATTCCAGAACAGATTAAAATTCTCAATGAAGGCAAGTCCTCTGCGTGAACATTCGTTGAGTAGGAAAGTATTTAGCTGATACAGACGACTGAATTTCATTTGCTTCCCGTCCACATTTGGTAGTGGGCCACTGATACACGACTGTTGCGTCCATTTTAGCAAGGTCGTCCAATAAGAGAGAGTAATCCCGTTTCAACTTTTCACTTGTGTTGTCATAGACGTCTACTGCCCCCACGTGGATCAACAATCTTTTTACCCCGCCGGTCTCAGACAGAAGCCTCGGAGCCAACCGCCTTATCTCATCCACTTTGGCAGAGTGTACTGAGTGAACCTTGAGATTACGCATGTTTACATTCCTAATCGCCGAATCCCCGATAAAGAGCGACTCAGCTGCATTTGACCTTGACTGAGACTACTGCTGATTCATCTTCCAAAAGTGGTGAAAAGCGGTTTCTTGCAATTAAAGATTTTTGCTGTGGCATTATGACACTCTTGTTATCATTAGCTTTGCCTTGTTTGGGCTTGGCACCATATGTGTTCCAACAATTGTCTCTGTTGATGTTGGGAAATGAAATAGCGTCATCATAACTTACGTTCTGTCCATTTGGTCCGTTTCCTTTCACTGGTATTGTTGTGTTCAGCCCCAATTCTGATTCAAGCACAAACATTCGGTCTTGAAGAAGTTTTAGCTCCTGTTCGAGTGAAAAACAGCCGTCGCAAAGTTTTGTTCTTTTTTCCCGTCCTCCCGACATGCTGTAAGTTAGGTAAATTCCACAAGTCTTGTGTTGAAGTTTGTAAAAAGGAGTAATCCGTGTTTTGCTGAATAAAAATGTAAGCAAAAAGGATTAAAGGAGCAGCAAGAGAATGTGACTGCTCTGTCCAGAGCAGGTAAGACTCAGGGAAGGCTAAACTCCTCAGACTGTCAGTCAAGCTGCATAGGGAGTCAGTTTGCTGGGAGAAGTATGGTAACTTGAGCACTATCCTCTCCTCCTTCCTACTTTATCTGTTAAGCATTTTTAGGATTTTGACTGTAGTTTGTTCATTGCTATTCACCCGTTGCCCCGTGTCTGTTTCATGGTACGATGACGGGATCTCTGAGCCTGGCCTCCTCCATCTAACCCTGCGGACTGCCCCGCCCAACCCGCCTGGGAGTGCTTCAGACCTGCACCGGACCTGTCCACGTTCAGCGGCCACTGGTCCACGTTCTGTAGCTAGCTTAGGTCCTAGATCATTAGCCTGTCCGTCCGGAGGAGCGGATCCCTTTCTCAAATGGGTCTCCCTTCCTGTGGGTTTCCCTAGTTCTCCCCAAGGTTTCTCACTTTTTCCCACTGGGTTTTTTAAGAGATTTTCCTTGTCGATGCAGGAGGGTCTTGTTGGACAGTTAGTGTCCAACAGAAAGGATTGGTGATGATCAGGACACTTTAGCATTCTACAACATGTATGGACATTTTCTTCTGTGTGTGCTTTATATTTTTCATGTGTTTTAACTGTTGATTCTCTGACCTGTGATGTGGGATGGAGTGATGGGTTGTCAGAGGTGCGGGGGACGGGATTGGACTGAGTGGGTAATGTTTGAAATCAGGTACCGGGTACTGTCACTATTACACAGGGAGAACATGCAAACTCCACTCAGTAAGGCCCTGTTCCGACTGGGATTCGAACCCAGGACCTTCTTGCTGTTCCCGACCGTCAGCAGATATCAAAAGTACTGATGCTTGTACCTGGAATAACACACATCTGTGCAATGAAGTCCCCATTAGAATAATTTTTTGTAGTTGTAATTTCTCCGTCATTCTCCTTTTTTTTGCAACATTTTTGTGAATAAAACGTTAAAACAATAAACAATAAGAACACACCTCTGATTTGTTTATGTCACTTTAACGCCGTGAATTCACACCACGTGGAGTTGTTTCCCGACATCTTTACTTTGTATTAGCACGAAACAGAGCAACTTCTTTGAGCCGGAGCCGATCCCAGACTCAGGGAGGATCATGGGAATCAAAGAGGGCCCTCCAGTCCGCCGGGGATCAATGCTTTTAGTTTGCCTTTGAAAATTGCACTCATTCGATTAGCGTGTTTTGCTTTCATCATTCACCATTTTCTCCAAAGCTTTTCGCGGCGTCGTGACGTGACACGGAGAAGAGAACGTGGCGTCTGCGAGTGCGACTGTTGGAACTGAAGGGGACGGGCGGAAAATGAAATGTAGCTGCTTCCGTTTCCCTTTGAGACGTGAAAACATACAAGAGAGTGTGTATTGGTGATTCTCCTCTTCTCTGTCTCAGATGGAGCTGTAATTGCATACTTTATCACTTATGGTAATTAAAGTAGGATATTAGTTTGTATCCACCAGCTCCAGCTTTTCCATTAACACCTGTGGGAAGTCCTCACAAAGATAGATACAGGGGAAGGGAAGAGACCAGCAGGAGAAGACTGTGAATAATATTATAAACAGCTGAAGAAAATAAGTACAAGAATGATTTTTTTTTTTTTCCGGCAATGACATTATTACAGTCATGGTAATAATAACGATAATAATAATATCACAAGTATATATACATTACATGCTGCTCAATGGGAGCTGTTGTCATGGCGATATCACCCGTGTCCAGTCGTCTCAGTTCAATTACATTCAATGATCTGTCTTGGAAGGTGATGACTTTTAAAAGGACAAATAGCACAGTGGGTGTTGGTGAAGTTGAAAGAGAGGCCAGTCGTCAGTGATCCACACGGAACCACAGACTGTCACGGAGCTGGCTTTGACGGACGCATTTGTTATTGGGAAAAATTTAACTTGTGGGTTTTTCATTCTACTCGGTTTATTGACTTCACCTCCGAACGCTCAACAATCTAATTGAATCAGAATTTGGGCAAAACTCTGTCAATGTAGAAACGATTATTTTGTCCCTTTCCAGAAAACGGCGGCGGCAGGAGCTCAAGTGGAATAATTTGCATGTTCAGATCTGAAGGTTTTTGCTTCTGACAAATTGTAGGTTTCCACGTGTGATTGTAGTTGTCACATGGATGAGTTTGTGAACTGGTGAATGGGAGGTTCAAGTTTTCTTCGAAAAACACAAAAAACTGGTCTTTTTGTGACTGGCCAAGAGGAGGATATTTGAGTGACGTCAGAGTTGATAGTTTTTTTGGTCACGTGACTTTGTGGCAAAACAGCAGCGAAAGGTCCTGGAGGCTGCAGAGTTCAGATTCATTTATTGGGCATTTTCAATAAAACCACATTGGAATATATTTGCAAAAGTCCCCACTGTGTGCACAAGACAAGTACATACACAAACCAAGGTTAAAAATACATAGTAAAATCAAACAAAACAGTAACAAGTGTCACTGTGAAATTCGACTAAAACAGTTTTAATACAAAGATCAATAAAGTGCTTAGTTCAAACTGATAACAGCTTTTGGAAAGAAGATGTTAGCGTGTTAGCATGTCCTGCATCTTAGAGAACGATATCTTCTGCCAGAGGGAAGAAGCTGGAACATGGCTTTTCCAGGGTGGCCAAACGAGTCATTGATTATTCTAATGTTCCATCCATCCATCCATTTTCTTCCCCTTAATCCATTTCTGGGTTTTCAGGCAAAGTGAGGTTAAGTGTCTTGCCCAAGGACACAACGACAGCAGTCATCAATGGTCTTGAGGTGGGCTCGAACCCATGGCCAATGCTCTTCCAACTGAGCCGCTGTCGCCCATTATTCTAATATTTTGGTTTAAAAGTCTGGATTTATAAACTAAGAACCTCCAGAACAGGAAGCTCACAGTCCTCTCTCTGGTCTCTCTCTCTGGTCTCTCTCTGGTCTCTCTCTGGTCTCTCTCTGGTCCCTCTCTCTGGTCTCTCTCTGGTCTCTCTCTGGTCTCTCTCTCTGGTCTCTCTCTGGTCTCTCTCTGGTCTCTCTCTGGTCTCTCTCTGGTCTCTCTCTGGTCTCTGTCTGGTCTCTTTGGTCTCTCTCTGGTCTCTATCTGATCTCTTCTTTGGTCTCTCTCTGGTGTCTCTCTCTGGTCACTCTCTCGTTCCTTTCTAGTTTCTCTTTGGTCTCTCTCTGTCTCTCTCTGTCTCTCTCTGGTCTCTCTCTGGTCTCTCTCTCTGGTCTTTCTCTGGTCTCTCTCTGGTCTCTCACAGGCCTCCAGTCTCTCACAGGCCTAAAGCCCTTTAACTTTTCCTGTGTGAAGGTCAGTAGGCGACAGTAGCTCAGTTGGTAGAGCATTGGCCTTTGAGCCTGAAGGTCGTGGGTTCAATTCCCACCTCTGCACCTTCTCCACCGACTCCCACTGATGACTGCTGTCGTTGTGTCCTTGGGCAAGACACTTAACCCCACTTTGCCCAAAGCCCCCACTGAAAGATCAAGGCTATGCTCACACTCAGAGAGCAGCCGTCCTCCTGTGGACTCACCACCTGCAGAGGGTCAGTGAGGGGCTGGTGCTATGAGACTTGGGTGGCATCCCTGATTGCCACCCCCCTGACCCAGAAATGGATTAAAGGGAAGAAAATGGATGGATGGATGGTGTGAAGGTCCCAGGTTTTCTATGAAGTGAGAATAAATGTCTCGCAGACCGAAGCCAAGACAGACTCTGACATTTGTGGTCCTCCTTAGTCTCATCTGGGCTTTGGGTTTGTTCTGTTCGGTCTCCTATGCTTATCTTTATATTAATATCTTCTCCGATCTTCTTGGGTTAAAGTGCTTATATACAGTGCATTTCACCACTAACTCTTTGAAAAGTACTCGTCGCATCCATATGGCCCTGCTAAACTAGTCCATGATTATCTATGTTATTGATTCTTTGGGATTCACCATTTATAGATCAATTTCACGCTTGGGCAACAAAAAGTCCCCTCATTCCAGGTGAGAATTGGATTTAATTGTGAAATCTTGTTTGCGGCAATCTCCCTTTGGTGCAGTCCCCAGAAAGATGGAAAATGTACAAAACTCTGAGTGAAATTAATCTATTTAAAGCTGCCGTAGCTATTAACTTTGAAACAACGACAAAATACTAATACAATCTTGCTAACTCTAGCTTTTTGCTCTCTAAACGGCTTGGTTCTATCACTTCTTATAAATGTAGTTTTGGTCACATCTTTAGATCCGCTTTTGCAGTGAAACAGAGAGTACCAGCCCTCCCTCAGCCAATCAGTTCCCTGCATGAACAAGATCACATATTTTTAATCAATAAAGATAGAATGTTGGGGTCTGGTTAAACCAATCAAGGTGTAAGTTGTTAAATTTGCTGAAAGCGTTGATTAGCACCGGATACTGGGAGAAGAATTAACTTTATGTGACTTCACTGAGTATGTCTATCAATGAATTTGTAATTTATTTTGTCCTACGCCCTTCATTCATCCAAGAAGTACCGAAACATGGCGTCACTGAAAACAGGTTTACTGAAAAGTGGCGAGACTCGTCGAGAAAAAGGAGTTGGATCTGAAGTTTAGACATGTAGAGCTTAGACATTATCTATCCATCTATCTATCTATCTATCTATCTATCCACCCATACATCCAGGTAAAAAACTGTTTTGTTTTGCTACATCTGAGAGGTTGTATCTTTTTTTATATACACTGTGATTATTTATTAGTTATTTTTATCAATGCTGTTTAATCGCTGAACAGATTTCCAATGTTTTGTTAAAATGTATTTTATGTGTGTTTTATGTTTTTTATGCCCTGTTCCGCTCAAACTAATTGCTTCTGGTGGGATAAATAAAGTAGTCTGAATCTGAATCTTGTGTGATTGTTTCCCTCTTGTGTATGAACTGTGCTATAAAAATAACCTTGCCTTGCCTTAAACGTTAATATAATCCATAAATATCTTTGAATATCGAGAGTCGTGGATCAGCCCCACTGTAGCCACTCATCGCTAGCTTTAGCTCAAACTTCCCTCTCTCATCTCGTACATTCACTCACTGTTATCAATGACAGACCTGCCTGGTGCTAAAATGGCCTCGGCAAAACCACACAAAAAAACAAAAAACCCCGGCAGAGAAGAGCTTTGGCATTTTCTCCCCTTCATTGTCCTTTGCCACGGCTCGGTCCTGCCAGTTCCTGACACAGCACGAGCCAGAAAAAGAGATTACAGAGCGAGAAATGTCATAAAGTCTGCGGAGAGGAGGCAAAGGTTGTCAATTATACATGTGCCACTCAGCCGCTGTCTCTGCCCACCTCTGCGGATTTGGCCGTTGTTCCGCCGCTCCTCGCCATCGCTGTGGAAGCTCCGACACCTGTCTTTTATCATGTCGCCGCTCACAGGAAGCCAGCGGAGGCCGGAGTCAGACGCAAACCCACAGTATTCTGATGGAAAAGCTGCTCGGGATGGGGCCGTCGGAGCTGCATGGGGGGCGGGCGAGCCGGAAGAGGACAGTGGGGCGAGGTTTGGGAACATGCAGATGGAGATATAAATAAACCACTTCACACAGAGAGAGAGGAAACAGGAGCAAAGAGCGGGACACAAGGTTTTAGGCTAAAAGGAGGGTCTAGAGATGGATTCTTAGAAAAACACAGATGCACTAAGACACTTTCAACGCAGAGCACTACAAAAAGAGATGGAAATAATTCAGAAATTGCTCAAATTTGGCTAAATGGATCTTAATTTGAAAACATTTGGACAAGATTTGCCAATAGGATAAGCCAAATTATTGTCTTGTTTTGAAAAATATACAAGAGATGCCTCCCTTCAAAAGAGAAAATAAAGCTACATTTCTTGAAAAAATACTGGAAAAATACTTTGTCACTGGAGAATCTTGTTTTAAAACAGAGTTAGTCAGATTAAGACAAAAAACAGAGAAGTGAGAGTTCTGTTGAGAAACTATGGCAAACAACATTTACATAAGATTCAAACAGATATGGGATGAAAGACAGCAGGGAGAGAATTTTGGTGTGTGTGTGTGTTTGTGTGCGTGTGTGTAAGTAATGTTTATTTATATACCGCCTTTCACAGACAAGGGTCACAAAGCGGTTTACAATTGTTATTATTTTTTTGGGCATTTGTCCTCTCACTCCACACAGAGATGGGAGCGGGGTCGCCAGTACAGGAGGCGCATGCACAGTCCTTTTGTACATATTTTTAGTGGTAGGGGAAACCGGAGTACCCGGAGGAAACCTACGCAGACACGGGGAGAACATGCAAACTCCACTCAGAAAGGCCAGGACCTTCTTGCTGAGAGGCGAGAGTGCTATCCACTCAGCCACCGCGTGTGTGTGTGTGTGTGTGTGTCTGCGTGTGTGATTTATGTCACGGAGAAAAGTTCTGTCTGTGGTCAGTCGTTAGTTCAGAGTCAATGTTACCTTCAGCTCTAACCTCCAGCTGATGGAGCAGACACACTTTGGTCTGAAAATATATGATGATGGACATGGACTATTTATGAAGCTCTGCAAAGTCCAAAGTACTTTAGGACAAAGCAGGACAAAGCAGGACAGAGGAGAATCCAGGCCACTGTGATCTGTGAAGGTCCTCGTCCATCTCTTTGACAAGAAACACATTTTGTTTGTGACCATTTTAACTATTTGTTTGGTAACTCTCTGACACATTTTTCACAGATGGATTATTGAGAGTTTCTAAGCTCTTCTTTTACAACTTTTAGGGGAAAAAGTGCTATTTTCTATCAGTTTTTGTTGTTTTTTTTGTCTCATTCATTCCCCTTTATTAGTCCATTTCTGCTCCAGTCCCTCTGATCCTCCTGCAGATCGTGGTCCATGGGAAGATGGCTGCTCCGTCGACAATGAAACAGCCTTGGTCTCTCAGCAGGGGCTTCAGGCAAAGTGGGGTTAAGTGCTTTGCCCAGAGACACGACAGCAGTCTTTGGGCACATTACAAAATAAAACAGGAAATACACCTAAACCATGACACATTGGTCCATAAGGGGCAGAGACCAAAGTCCATAAATGTTGATAAATGTTATTTTTATGTTTGTTTTTTTATTATGAAAACTATGCAAGCTACCGGGACAACGCAATTTCCCTGTGGATCCATAAAGTCTAAGTCTAAGTATCATTGTCCATAAATGTGGGTTTGCAAGTGCACTTTAACATAAATGTAGCAGTCAAAGTGAGGCTCCAAACTTCAGCCAGGTCCATTTCCCTTCAACATTTCTGTGACTAATCTAAGTCTAAAGTACCTTTGTCATAGTGGGACAATGACATCACACTCTCACAGAACTGAGAGTGAGGCGTTTGGAAACAGCACCATGTTTGTGTCAGAGGTTCCTGTTTCTAAAAGAGGAAGAATGTTGTCACAAAAACTTTGCTTAATACGTCTCCTTTTGAAAGTAGCAATTTTATTAATTAATTTATTTTATTTAGGGCCCTAATCTGTCATCATTAAAGGGCCCTAATCTGTCATCATTAAAAGGCCCTAATCTGTCATCATTAAAGGGCCCTAAACTGTCATCATTAAAGGGCCCTAATCTGTCATCATTAAAAAGCCCTAATCTGTCATCATTAAAGGGCCCTAATCTGTCATCATTAAAGGGCCCTAAACTGTCTTCATTAAAGGGCCCTAATCTGTCATCATTGAAAGGCCCTAATCTGTCATCATTAAAGGGCCCTAATCTGTCATCATTAAAGGGCCCTAAACTGTCTTCATTAAAGGGCCCTAATGTGTCATCATTAAAGGGCCCTAATCTGTCATCATTAAAGGGCCCTAATCTGTCATCATTAAAGGGCCCTAATGTGTCATCATTAAAGGGCCCTAATCTGCCATCATTAAAGGGCCCTAATCTGTCATCATTAAAGGGCCCAATCTGTCATAAAAATAAACTACTCTTTTCCAATACTTCTTTAACTGATAACATTAGTGCAGAGATATTTGAATTTCTAAATAGCTCAGTTGGTAGAGCATTGGCCTTTGGGCCAGTCGTTGTGTCCTTGGGCAAGACACTTAACCTCACTTTGCCTGAAGCCCCAGCTGAAAGATCTCAGCTCCTGTGGACTCACCACCTGCAGGAGGATCAGTGAGGGGCTGCATATCTGGCAACCTGAGTTAGGGAGAGCGGGAGAGGCTGCAGTACCACTTTTGGCCACATTTTTAAATACTGCTCCTTTAAGTAAATATAATGATCCAATGAGTCTAATTGATCCGTTTGATCCAGACCCGGGCTCCGTCTCGTATTGACTTCTCTTTCTACATAAAGCAGAGAAATCTTGGATGGAGACATGTTTTATTGATTCTTTATGGATGAGTCAGGAACATGTGGAGAGCGGGAGGCAGGAGGTTCAGACCCCGAGGTGCAGCTGTCAGATCCCAGCTCTGTTTGTATCTCATCTCTCACCCATGTGTCTATGGGTATTTACTGCCAAACAGGGAATTCTGCAGTATTTCAACAAAATCACTCACAAAATCTGTCTTTTCAAACAGATAAAGTGCCACCAGTTTCTCTGTGGCTCGCTCAGAACTCACAAATCAACATCTTTGACACAAGAACTCCCAGAATTCTTAAACTACTAGATCAATATGTGAACTATGGACATTGTAAAGTCCTTGGGGTGACCTTGGTCTGTGAAAATGCACAATATAGATCAAAATGCCATCTTTTTGTACTCTTGTAGCAACCGGACAAAGAGAGAAAGACAAGAGTTTCTTCATGTTCCAACTGTGTGGTTGTTTCCTACTGATGCAGGAGGGTGTCAGGACAGCAATGATCCCGGACATTTAAGAACATTTAAAAAAATATTTATGAACCAATGGCTCCCATATGTTTGTTTGTGCATTTGTTCGAACTGTTTGATTCTCTGATCTGTTGCTGGTGAATCGACAACTGTGCAAAGTCCTCAGAGACGACTGCTGTGATTTAAACAAAAACACATGAATTGTGATGAATTAGAATCTTGCGTTGCAGCCCACACACGTCTGTTGCATGTGAAGCAATGTTCTCAAAGAATCAGGTCAACAATATTCAGCTCATTCAATATTCATGACAGTGGGGGGTGCACGGGAAGTACATACAGGAAGTATTAACAGGAAGTATATACAGGAAGTACAAAGAGAAAGTATACACAGGAAGTAAACACAGGAAGTATATACAGGAAGTAAACACAGGAAGTATATACAGGAAGTATACACAGGAAGTTTAAACAGGAAGTACATACGGGAAGTACATACAGGAAGTATATTGTTGTCAAAAATGATTTGACTGACGTGTTCAGAATTTGGTACAGAAACAAGGCCAAGATTTCAAGAGTTACAATAGAACATTTATTTCTCTTTACAATTAAATGTTGATACAGAACTCCTGGAGCTATTCCCTAAATCTATCCCTGTGCTCCGATTGCCCACAATGTGTCCTCCCAACGGTTTTATCAGAATGTCAGATGACGTCACATGGTCTGAGGCTGGTCCCAGTCTGGCCCAGTCCAGTTTTGTGTCTCAGGCCCTGTCCCGATAAGAGAGACACGCTGTTCCTGAAAATGATACTTTTATCACAGAAGCCTTGTCCTTGGTGCTTGTCTGAATTCCACTAAATCCAGGCTTAATATTGCACAAAGACATTTTATACAAACACCTACTGGAAATCATTAGTATACAACATTTTAATTCTACAACAATATACAGAAAGAATACACAGGAAGTAATCTGGGTTTTAATAATTTAATGGTTCATGAGATTAGAAGTAAATAAACATGAAAATGACCTGCATAGTAATGTTTTAAAGGAGACATATTATGCTAACACCACTATAGAGGTTTTTGCACTGTCTTGCTCCTGTAATAGTATGTTAAAGAATGTCATAGTATGTTATAGTACGTAATAGTATGTCATAGTAAGTCATGGTAAAGCATATTGTAGCACTATGACATCACACTAAGCATTTGTGCATGTTTAGCATGTGTTTTAACATGTTTAGCATGTGTTTTAGAATGTTTAGCATGTGTTTTAACATTTATTTTTAGCCTCCGTTTTACCTTTTAAGCTTAGATTTTAATTGCTTTTCATTATTTTATTTGCTTTGATGTAATTCATCATAAATCATATGTAGCATTTAATTAAGTAATAATCCTTTTTTAAACCGGGTCCAAAGAACCTGTTTTCCATCTCTGACAAACATTCTGACATTTTATAGTATTTTTTACTTGTTTTTCGTACACAGCCTGAAATATTGACATTTTCACTGCTTACATTAAAAGCAAGAAATGTACAAGAATGTACAAAAGTATTCATTTATTTACTGACATCTGTCCATCCGTCTGTGTTATTCACTCCTGTTTTCATTCATCAACGTTTCTGCTTTTTCCAAAATATAATAATCACCAGCACTTTCCCTCAACTCTGCGCTCGGCTGCGGAAAATCTATACGTGCTGCTGAAGAACACAAAATACATCAATTTCACTACAATATTTATATTTATTTTGCTCTTGTGTTTACGACAGCGGACGCAGAGGAAGAAGCTGGAACCAATCGCTCATTGTACAGAAGAAATATCTCATTATTATAAAGATTGTGTTTGAATTTCAGTTTTTCTGTTTTTCTGGTTGGATCCCGCTTTAAAAATGACATTTGGAATTTAAATCAGAGCAACTGAAACATGCACCAATAGGATTAAAGCTGGGGCACCTGACTTTTCTAATAATATATTGAAATGTTTTTTAAGTCTGACCACAACATGCATTTTAGACTCTTGTTTTTTTATAAAACATTTTATAAAACATGTTTCCAAAGTGCTGCACAGAGATAAAAGTAACACATTTAAACGCACAGGTTTGACAGAGTTATATGAATCAAAAATGTAACAAGTAAAACAATTATGATGTATACAGGAAAAATAATAAAAATATAATAAAAACAGCTTTTGTTCTGGCCACATGGATTTTATCATTGGTCTCTGCTCCTAATGGACCAATGATTCTATGTGTTTTTTGTCATTACATTTCTTGTGTTTGATACTCTAATCTGTGTTGGCGAATTCAACAGTTTTTGTAAAGTCCTCTGAGAAAACTGCTGTTGTGATTTAGAGCGATACAAAAATACATTGAATTGAAATTGATTGATGCATTAGCAGTGTATCTTTGACATTTGCAGTAATGATATCCTCTCCACACCTGTTTCCTCCAAACACAGTAACATGTACAGTAAACCGCTTTTTGACTCTGCTCTGTGAAAGGCGCTATATAAATAAACATTATGTGTTCCATAATGTGGTGCCTCTGATGGACGCCACCACATATGAAGCCACAGAGAAGAATAATGGTGATTTGCTAATGGCAGCCACTAAAATTGCAGTTTGGTTGTAATCTTGCTGCCTATAGTCATCAGAAATAGATGGTTGTTGGCGTGTTGTGGGCGTGTTGTGGGCTTAGTGCGGTGGAGGTGGTTGTTGGCGTGTCGTGGGCTCAGTGCGGTGGAGGTGGTTGTTGGCGTTTTGTGGGCTCCAAGTGGTGGAGGTGGTCCTTGGCGTGCTGTTTGCGTGTTGTGGGCTCGGTGCGGTGGAGGTGGTTGTTGGCGTGTTGTGGGCTCGGTGCGGTGGAGTTGGTTGTTGGTGTGTTGTGGGCTCAGTGCGGTGGAGGTGGTTGTTGGCGTGTTGTGGGCTCGGTGCGGTGGAGGTGGTTGTTGGCGTGTTGTGGGCTTGGTGCGGTGGAGGTGGTTGTTGGCGTGTTGTGGGCTCAGTGCGGTGGAGGTGGTTGTTGGCGTGTTGTGGGCTCAGTGCGGTGGAGGTGGTTGTTGGCGTGTTGTGGGCTCAGTGCGGTGGAGGTGGTTGTTGGCGTGTTGTGGGCTTGGTGCGGTGGAAGTGGTTGTTGGCGTGTTGTGGGCTCAGTGCGGTGGAGGTGGTTATTGGCGTCGTGGGCTTATTGTGGTGGAGGTGGTTGTTGGCGTGTTGTTGGCGTGTTGTGGGCTTGGTGTGGTGGAGGTGGTGTTGGCGTGTTGTGGGCTTATTGTGGTGGAGGTGGTTGTTGGCGTGTTGTGGGCTTGGTACGGTGGAGGTGGTTGTTGGCGTGTTGTTGGCGTGTTGTGGGCTTGGTGTGGTGGAGGTGGTTGTTGGCGTGTTGTGGGCTCCGTGTGGTGACCTCCGGGCGTCGGGCTCCGTGCGGTGGATTTCGTGCGGTGGAGGTGGTTGTTGGCGTGTTGTGGGCTTGGTGTGGTGGAGGTGGTTGTTGGCGTGTTGTGGGCTCAGTGCAGTGGAGGTGGTTGTTGGCGTGTTGTGGGCTCAGTGCGGTGGAGGTGGTTGTTGGCGTGTTGTGGGATTAGTGCGGTGGAGGTGGTTGTTGGCGTGTTGTGGGCTCCGTGCAGTGGGCTCAGTGCGGTGAGCTTGGTGCGGTGGAGGTGGTTGTTGGCGTGTTGTTGGCGTGTTGTGGGCTTGGTGCGGTGGAGGTGGTTGTTGGCGTGTTGTGGGCTCAGTGCAGTGGAGGTGGTTGTTGGCGTGTTGTGGGCTCAGTGCGGTGGAGGTGGTTGTTGGCGTGTTGTGGGCTCAGTGCGGTGGAGGTGGTTGTTGGCGTGTTGTGGGATTAGTGCGGTGGAGGTGGTTGTTGGCGTGTTGTGGGCTCCGTGCAGTGGGCTCCGTGCGGTGGAGGTGGTTGTTGGCGTGTTGTTGGCGTGTTGTGGGCTTGGTGCGGTGGAGGTGGTTGTTGGCGTGTCGTGGGCTCCGTGCAGTAGAGGTGGTTGTTGGCGTGTTGTGGGCTCCGTGCAGTGGGCTCCGTGCGGTGGAGGTGGTTGTTGGCGTGTTGTGGGCTCAGTGCGGTGGAGGTGGTTGTTGGCGTGTTGTGGGATTAGTGCGGTGGAGGTGGTTGTTGGCGTGTTGTGGGATTAGTGCGGTGGAGGTGGTTGTTGCCGTGTTGTGGGCTCAGTGCAGTAGAGAGGTGGTTGTTGGCGTGTTGTGGGCTCGGTGCGGGGGAGGTGGTTGTTGGCGTGTTGTGGGCGTGTTGTGGGCTTAGTGTGGTGGAGGTGGTTGTTGCCGTGTTGTGGGCTTAGTGCGGTGGAGGTGGTTGTTGCCGTGTTGTGGGCTTAGTGCGGTGGAGGTGGTTGTTGCCGTGTTGTGGGCTCGGTGCGGGGGAGGTGGTTGTTGGCGTGTTGTGGGCTCAGTGCGGTGGAGGTGGTTGTTGCCGTGTTGTGGGCTCGGTGCGGGGGAGGTGGTTGTTGGCGTGTTGTGGGCTCAGTGCGGTGGAGGTGGTTGTTGGCGTGTTGTGGGCGTGTTGTGGGCTTAGTGTGGTAGAGGTGGTTGTTGGCGTGTTGTGGGCTCGGTGCGGTGGAGGTGGTTGTTGGCGTGTTGTGGGCGTGTTGTGGGCTTAGTGTGGTGGAGGGTGGTTGTTGCCGTGTTGTGGGCTCGGTGCGGGGGAGGTGGTTGTTGGCGTGTTGTGGGCTCAGTGCGGTGGAGGTGGTTGTTGCCGTGTTGTGGGCTCGGTGCGGGGGAGGTGGTTGTTGGCGTGTTGTGGGCTCAGTGCGGTGGAGGTGGTTGTTGGCGTGTTGTGGGCGTGTTGTGGGCTTAGTGTGGTAGAGGTGGTTGTTGGCGTGTTGTGGGCTCGGTGCGGGGGAGGTGGTTGTTGGCGTGTTGTGGGCTCAGTGCAGTAGAGGTGGTTGTTGGCGTGTTGTGGGCTCGGTGCGGTGGAGGTGGTTGTTGGCGTGTTGTGGGCTTAGTGTGGTGGAGGTGGTTGTTGCCGTGTTGTGGGCTTAGTGCGGTGGAGGTGGTTGTTGCCGTGTTGGTGGCTACGTGCGGTGGAGGTGGTTGTTGCCGTGTTGTGGGCTTAGTGCGGTGGAGGTGGTTGTTGGCGTGTTGTGGGCTTAGTGCGGTGGAGGTGGTTGTTGCCGTGTTGTGGGCTCGGTGCGGGGGAGGTGGTTGTTGGCGTGTTGTGGGCTCCGTGTGGTTGTATCGTAGCGTGTCCTGTTCACAGCGTGTGCACGGGCTAATGATGTGGCTCCACTCCCAGCGCTCCATTCTTCCTGTGCTCCGGCCAACAACAGACACTTCCTGCTCCTCCCTCTCCGACACTTCCAGCTCCAGCAACACTAACAAGCAACGATAGGGATTTAAACCATGGATGTATTATATTAACTGGATAGGGTATTACTAGCTTGTAGCTGAATAACCCACGTGCTCAGGGGATTCTCGCGGTACTGCAGACTGAACCAGACTAAATTCACGTGGGCCACCCAGAAATTTTCCCCATAGAACTCAATGCATATTAAAACAGCTCAACCTCAGCTGACAGAGAACCTACAACTTTAATAAAGATAGGATTTTGTGGGGATTTTAGTGTCCCTTGTCATCCTGAACTTTTTTTCTTCTTAAATCCTTCGGTTTTGTTTAAATCCACACTTTAGTGCCACAAACTCTGCTCCTCTGGCTCTCGCTCTAACTCCCGCTCTGATGAACTGCTCTGATTGGTCAGAGCGCGGCCGAGCCCCTCTGTGCACGTGCGTGAGACCCGGTGTGAGACCCACACACGCGTGTTTGGCGCAACGCATTATGGGAGATCATCCACTGCGCAGAACCGGGAGGACCAGACGATGCCCAAATACAGGCGAGTTTCCCATAGATCTTTGCGAGTTTCAGGCAACTTCCGCTAATCTTTCAGCCCCCATGCTGTCACAAAGCGCCACTGAGCACAACCATTCATTTGAATAGGGCGCCATCTTGAATCGCCGGGGCTTGATTTAAACGGACTGGACACACTTCTGAATTAGCTCTATATGTGTAATAATAACAACAATAATATTTATCATAATAATCATAATAATTGGGCGACAGTAGCTCAGTTGGTAGAGCATTGGCCTTAAGCCCAGAAGGTTGTGGGTTCAATTCCCACCTCTGCACCTTCTCCACCGACTCCCACTGATGACTGCTGTCGTTGTGTCCTTGGGCAAGACACTTAACCCCACTTTGCCCAAAGCCCCCACTGAAAGATCAAGGCTATGCTCACACTCAGAGAGCAGCCGTCCTCCTGTGGACTCACCACCTGCAGAGGGTCAGTGAGGGGCTGGTGCTATGAGACTTGGGTGGCATCTCTGACTGCCACCCCCCTGACCCAGAAATGGATTAAAGGGTAGAAAATGGATGGATGGATGGAATCATAATAATCATCATCATCATAATAATGCATTGGTTTTATACAGAACTTTCAGGACTTTCTATACATGATTTTTCTTCCACTCTAAACACAGTGGTTATAAACCACTACTGTAGCTACAGCTGCCCCCCACTAAGCAAGCCGACGTTGAATCAACGTAATTTGAACGTCGTTGTCCGACGTAGAATATAGGTCACTGGTGGGTGCAGAATGAAAGTTTTCTCGACGTCGTTTCCCGACGTCACCTCAACCTCCAAATGTTACGTTGATGGCACGTCAATTCAAGGTTTGAATGTGGTACGGAACCGGTCGGGTCTGACGTCCTATCAACGTCTCAAATGACCAAAATATTGACGTTTATATGACGTTCGTTTTCAGTCGTTCCCACTAAGCAAGCAGATGTCAAAACAACGTAATTCCAACGTCATCTGGACGTTCATTCAAGGTTGCAATGTGGTACAGAACCGGTCGGGTCCGACGTCCTCTCGACGTCTTATATGACCAAAATATTGACGTTTATATGACGTCCATTTACAGTCCTATTGACCTCTGTAGAATGACTTAATAGTCGAGACATACTTTTTGCAATAGGCAAGGCAAGTTTATTTGTATAGCACAGTCAAAACAAAAGGAAACTCAAAGCACTGAACAAAAGATAGAAACAATCAAACAAGGCATTACAATTATAAATATTGACAGTAAATTAAAAAGATACAAATAAAATCTCTCAAAAAATCTCTCAGTTGAAGCAGAAACAGAAGTGTTTTAAACCTGGATTTTAACATTGTCAAAGAAGAAGCCTGTCTCACATTTCCAGGAAGACCGTTCCAGATTTTAGCCTTGTGAATCTGAAATGCAGCTATATCATGTTTAGTTCTGACTCTGGGCAATAAACGATAAACACAGCATTCAAAAATCATTAGAACAACTGTAGTAGAAGGATATCAGTCATTATTGCAAATGGAGCTGCATTAAAAATCATGTTTCTCTACATCAAAGTACAAGTTAATCCACACAGGACACAGTATTATGAACACTACTGTACTGAACAGTTCATGCCAAAGTAAAAAAACATGATTGT